AAAAAAAAAAAAAAAAAAAAAAAAAAAAAAAAAAAAGATGGAGTCTCACTCTGTCACGCCTCCTGGGAAGGGGCATAAGGGAGCCTCTAGGATATGAAAATGTGCTCTATACTGCTCTGGACGGAAGTTACATGGATGCATACTTTTTTTTTTTTTTCAGGCGGGGGTCTCACTATGTCATGCAGGCTGGGAGTTCAGTGGTGCCATTATGGTTCACTGCAGCCTCCACCTCCTGGGCTCAAGTGATCCTCCTGGTTCAGCCTCCCGAGTAGCTGGGACCACAGATGCATGTCACCACGCCCAGCTACAGGATGCATACCTATGAAACACTGGTGGAACTCTATCCTTGAGATGCACGCACCTTGTGCATTTAACATGAGTCTGTTATGTATCAATTAAAAAGCATTTTATTACTATTTTAAACAAAATATGAATTACCAAGCAAATAATTATTGACTATGTATGTACTTGTTTTTTTTTTTGTTTGTTTGTTTGTTTTTGGTTTTTGTTTTTTGGTTTTTTTTGAGACGGAGTTTCGCTCGTTACCCAGGCTGGAGTGCAATGGCGCAATCTCGGCTCACCGCAACCTCCGCCTCCTGGGTTCAGGCAATTCTCCTGCCTCAGCTTCCTGAGTAGCTGGGATTACAGGCACGCGCCACCATGCCCAGCTAATTTTTGTATTTTTAGTAGAGACGGGGTTTCACCATGTTGACCAGGATGGTCTCGATCTCTTGACCTCGTGATCCACCCGTCTCGGCCTCCCAAAGTGCTGGGATTACAGGCGTGAGCCACCGCGCCCGGCCTGTACTTGTTTTTTTGAGACAGAGTTTCGCTCTTGTTGCCCAGGCTAGAGTTCAATGGCACCATCTCAGCTCACTGCGACCTCTGCCTCCTGGGTTAAAGCAATTCTCCTGCCTCAGCCTCCTGAGTAGCTGGGATTACAGGCGTGAGCCACCATGCCCAGCTAATTTTTTTATTTTTAATAGACCCAGGGTTTCACCCTGTTGGCCAGTCTTGAACTCCTGACTTCAAGTGATCCACCCACCTCGCTCTCCTAAAGTGCTAGGATTATGGGCATAAGCCACTACACCTGGCCTAAATATATATATATTTTTAAATGTCCTTTTTATGTATGAAACCTATTAAATGGCTAAAGATATCTTTTAATACCTCATATTAAGGAAAAATATATTTAAGCATTAGAAATTTGTATGTTGGCCGAGTATGGTGGCTCATGCCTGTAATCCCAGCACTTTGGGAGGCTGAGGCAAGTGAATCATGGGGTCAGGAAATCGAGACCATCCTGACTAACATGGTGAAACCCCGTCTCTACTAAAAATACAAAATATTAGCTGGGCGTGGTGGCACGCGCCTTTAGTCCCAGCTACTCAGGAGGCTGAGGCAGGAGAATCGCTTGAATGAACCAGGGAGGTGGAGGTTGCAGTGAGTGGAGACTGTTTGACTGCACTCCAGCCTGGGCAACAGAGCAAGACTCCATCTCAAAAAAAAATTTACATGTTAAAGAACTTGTGCTTCAAAGGCTGTTTGGAAGTATTTTTCTATTACTTCAGGATCCTGCTTTTCTGGCATATATATAAAACGCCATTTTTTTTTTTTTTTGAAACAGAGACTCATTCTGTCACCAGGCTGGAGTGCAGTGGCACTCCAGTTCATATTTATTTTAAAACTTAGAATGAAATTACAAGGAACCTAATATTAGCCTCCCAAAGTGCTGGGATTACAGGCGTGAGCCACCGCGCCTGGCCTATATATGACGCCTTTAAAAAAAATATTAAATTTCAGGCTAGCCATGGTGACTCATGCCTGTAATCCCAGCCCTTACCTTTAAAAAAAATAATTAAATTTCAGCCTAGCCATGGTGACTCATGCCTGTAATCCCAGCCCTTAGGGAGACTGAGACAGGCAGATGCTTGAGCTCAGGAGTTCGAGACCAGCCTGGGCAACATGGTAAAACAGTCTCTACAAAAAATACAAAAATTAGACAGGGGTGGTGGCACGTGCTTATAGTCCCAACTACTTGGGAAGCT